ACTATTGTTGTCAAGTGTCTTCGAGTCGGTTCCAACTCATAGAGACCCTGTATACAGTTTCTAAGACTGTACATCTTTGCAGGATCTGAAAGACTCATCTTTCTCCTGTGATGTATATACTACTCACTCAAAACTCAAAAATTTGCATAATTAAAACTATATTTTATGTTGTTATTGTTGCTATGTGCCGTGAAGTCGGTTCCAACTCATAGTGACCCTGTACAAGGTTTCCTGAGGCTGTAAATCTTTACAGGAGCAGAAAGCCTCATTTTTCTCCCACGGAAGAGCTGGTAGTTTCAAACTGCTGACCTTGAGGTTGGCAGCCCGACTCATAACCACTACGCATTGAATAAAAGTGACAGCTCTTATCTATAGTGGTTCAATAAGGTTGGTGGCTCCCAGTGAGGTATCACAGTCCCTCCATAGATCTCTTCCCAGGCCAGAGTACACAGAATCCTTAAGAGTGCTTATTATCACTTTTAATCATAGAATACTGAATAAACATACTTGTAAAGTTCTTAAATGTAAGATTTCTTGGAGAGGGATATCATGTTTGGTAAGGTGGATGGTCAGAGAAAAAGAGGAAGACCACCAGCGAGATGGATTGACAAAGTGGCAGCATCAATGGGCTCAAACATGGCAACAATTGTGAGGTTGGCCCAGGACCAGGCTGTGTTTCATTCTATCGTGCATAGGGTTACTATGAGTCAGTACCGACTCGATGGCACCTAATAACAACAGCATATGAATATTAGCAACACAATTGTATTGAAAACGTTTCTACATTGAATTATTGTTGTTTAGGTGTTGTCGAGTTTGTTCCAATTCATATCCACTTTGTGCCCTACAGAACAAAACACTGCCTGGTCCTGTGTCAATTTAACAATCATTGCTACACTTGAACCCATTGCTGCTGCCACTGTGCCAACCTATTTCTTTTTTCTTAGAGACTCTCCATTTTATCAAGTGTGATGAACTTTTCCAGGGACTGGTCCCTCCTGCTAATATCTGAAGTATGAGACACAAAGTGGCCATCCCGGCTTCTAAGGAGCATTTTGGATGTACATCTTCCAACACAGATTTGTTTGTTCTTCTGTCAGTCCATGGTACTTTTATTATTCTCCTACAACACCATAACACATATGTATCAATTTTTATACGATCTTCCTTATTATTTTCCAACTTTTACATGTATATGAGGAAATTGAAAATACCATGGCTTGGGTTGGGTGCATCTTAGTCCTCAAACTGACATCTTTGCTCTTAAACAATTTTAAAAAGGTCTTGTGCAGCAGATTTCCCTCATGCAATACATCATTCGATTTCTTGACTGCTGCTTCCATGGGTGTTGATGGTTGATCCAAGCAAAATGAAGTCTTTGACAACTTCAGTTGTTTCTCCATTTATCTTGATGCTATTTATTGGTCCAGTGGTAACAATTTTTGTGTTTCTTTTAAATTGAGGTGTAACCTATAGTGTAGGTCTTTGATCTTTATCTGCATTTTAATTCCTCTTTGATTTTAGCAAAAAAGGTTGTATCATCTGCATATTGCAGGTTGTTAATGATTCTTCCGCCAGTCCTGATACCATGTTCTTCATATAATCCATCTTCTCCAATTATTTGCTCAGCATACAGACTGAATAAGTATGGTGAAAGAATACAACCCTGGCACACACCTTTCCTAATTTTAAACCATTCAGTGTTCCCTTGTTCTACTCGAATGACTGCCTCTTGGTTTATGCATAGGTTCTTCATCAGCACAATTAAGCGTTCCAGAATACTCATTCTCAGCAATGTGGCCTATAGCTTGTCATGATTCACAAAGTCGAAAGCCTTTGTGCAGCCAATAAAATACAGATAAACATCTTTCTGGTATTCTCTACTTTCAGTCAAGATCCACCTGACTTTAACAATGATAGCCCTCATTCCACATCCTTGCTTGAATCCACATTGAACCCCAGGCAGCTCCCTGTCAATGTATTGTTGAAGCTGTTTTTGACTTATCTTTAGCAAAATTTTACTTGTATGATATATTAATGATATTGTTCAATTATTTCTTCATTCTGCTAGGTCATCTCTATTTTGAATGCGTACTAATAGGGATCTCTTCCAATCAATTATTCAGGTAGATGTCTTCCAAATTTCTTGGCATAGACGACTGGGTGACATCCAGTGCTGCACGTTCCATGAGTTCCTGGAGCTTTGTTCTTTGCCAATGCCTTCAGTACACCACCAACTTCTTCCTTCAGCAACTTTGGCTCTTGATCCCATGTTACATTTTGAAATAGTTTAACATTGACCATTTCTTTTTGGTACAGTGACTGTGTGTATTCAGTCCATCTTCTTTTGATGCTTTCTGCATCAAGCAATAATTTGCCCATAGAATCCTTCAGCATTGCAAATCAAAGCTTGAATTTTTTCCTCACTTCTTTAAGCTTGAGAGAGCATAGTCTTCATTTTTGGTTTTCTAACTCCAGGTCTTTGCACATTTCACGATAATGTTTGACTTTGTCTACTCTAGTTGCCCTTTGAAATATTATATTCACCTCTTTCTTTCCTGATTTCATCCATTTGCTTTACCATCCCTATGCTGGAGAACACATTTCATAGTCTCTTCTAGCATCCATTTCAGCCTTTTCCTTCTTTATTGTCTTCTTAATGACTTCTTGCTTTCTTCGTGTATGATGTTCTTGATGTCATCCCATAGTTCTCTGGTCTTCAGTCATTAGTGTCTAATGCATCAAATCTGTTCTTCAGATTATCTCTAAATTTAGATGGGATATGTTCAAGGCCATATTTTGGCTCTTATGGATTTGTTTTAATTTTACCCAGCTTCAGCCTCAACTTGCACATGAGCAATTAATTCCACAGTCTGCCAGTCTATTCCACAGTCTGCTGCCCCTAGTCTTGTTTTGGCTGATGATACGGCGCTTTTTCACCTTCTCTTTCCACAGATGTAATCAATTTGAATTCTGTGTATTTTATCAGGTGAGTTCCATGTGTATAATAGTCTTTTATGTTGATTATAAAAGGGATTTGCAATGAAGAAGTCATTGGTCTTGCAAAATTCTATCATGCAATCTATAGCATTGTTTCTATCACCAAGGCCATATGTCCCAACTACTGATCCTTCCTCTTTATTTCCTAACTTTGCATACCAATCCTCAGTAATTGTCAATCCTTCTTGATTGTATATTTGATCAATTTTAGATTGAAGAAGTTAGTAAAATTCCTCAATTTCATCATCATTGGCTTCAGTAGTTGTTGCATAAATTTGAAGAATAATTTTATTAACGCATCTTCTTTGTGGATGTATGGATATTATTCTATCATAGACAGAGTTGTATTTTAAGATAAATCTTGAAACGTTCTTTTTGATGATGAATGTAAGGCCATTCCTCAATTTGTCATTCCTGGCATAGTAAACCATGTGATTGTCAGATTCAAAATGGTCAATACCAGTCCATTTCAGTCTAGGATATTGATGGTTATGTGTTTCATTTCATTTTTGACAAATTCCAATTTTCCTAGATTCATACTTCAAACATTCCATGTTCTGATTACTAATAGA